GTTGTGTATTGAACTATGGCCTTCTTTCTGAATGCGAAAAATGAGAAAAACTACAAGAGGTGGTCTGCAGAGAGAGAGAGAGTGCAGTAAAGGTGAGCACCAGATATAGGACGTGTTACATAGAGTTAATAGGTGCAGAAATCACTCCTGCAGAGTCAGAGGCGGAGAAGCAAACTCAGTTACAGGTCATCGTTGTTCAGGCTCAGTCGTGTCCGACTCTGCGGCCCCGAGGACCGCAGCACACCAGGCTTCCCCGTCCATCACCAACTCCCGGAGCTAACTCAAACTCATGTCCGTCCAGTCAGTGATGCCATCCAACCATCTCATCTTCTGTCGTCCCCTTCTCCTCCTGCCTTCAGTCTTTCCCAGCATTAGGGTCTTTTCCAATGAGTCAGCTATTCTCATCAGATGGCCAAAGTTTTGGAGTTTCAGCTTCAGCATAAATCCTTTCAATGAATATTTTGGGTTGATTTTCTTTAGGATTGACTGGTTGGATCTCTTTGCAGTCCAAGGGACGCTCAACAGTTTTCTCCAACACCACAGTTCAAAAGCATCTGTTCTTCAGCTCTCAGCTTTCTTTATGGTCAAACTCTCACATCCACACATGACTACTGGAAAAACCATAGCTTTGACTTTGTGGACCTTTGTCAGCAAAGTAATGACTCTGCTTTTTAATATGCTGTCTAGGTTGGTCATAGCTTTCCTTCCAAGGAGCAAGCATCTTTTAATTTCATGGCTGCAGTCACCATCCACAGTGATTTTGGAGCCCCTCAAAATAAAGTCTCTCACTGTTTCCATTGTTCCCCCATCTATTTGCCATGAAGTGATGGGACTGGACGCCATGATCTTCATTTTTTGAATGTTGACTACAGATTAGGAACAGTTAAAGTAAAAACTAGGAATGATCAGGTCTGCTCATTATTCTCTGTTTCTTTGTTTTCAGGGAAGGAAAGAAAAACCCATTACTCTTTTCTCCTTCTCACTGCAATACTGTGGAGAACTTGTTCCCTTAAGGCCAAAGGAGTTATTGTAAATGCGATAGCAGAAATTTCCAGGAGGTGTTCAGTGCGGCTCCTCTGAAGGGGCCAGCAAACACCCAGTGTTTGCTGAACGGAGTTTTATGTGTCAGAACAAAGTCAGGCCTGGGGCAGACTGAGGGGAAAAGCCAGGCCCGTTAATGTCCCAGGAGGGCCTTGTCCAGCTGGGGTTAAACTCTAACTATATGGGATGATAAAACCCTGTGTAAAGTAGATAGCCAGTGGGAACTTGCCGTGTGGCACAGGGAGCCTAAAGCCAGTGCTCGTGACAACCTGGAGGGGTGGGATGGGGAAGGGAGTGGCAGGGAGTGGACACGTGTATCCCTGTGGCTGATTCACGGTTGATGCATGTCAGAAACCAACATTGTAAAGCAATTATCCTTTAATTTAAAAAAAGAAACCAACCGCTCAGGCTCTAGTGACAAGCTGCCCTCCCTGGAGGGTCTTGTGAGCTCTGCCGACGCGACTCGACTGCGGTGCAGGAACCCCGTGACCACAGCGTGGCCTTCCAGAAGTGCACCCCTTTGGGGCTTGGGAAGGTGTGCAGCGAGCAGACTCTGGGGCCTGGCCCCTCGGCTGCCGCACCATCTCCCCTGCCTCTGCGGCCACCCTCCTGGGGCCCACGGGTGGTGACTGCGGGCTGACGTGGGCATCCTTTCCCGGCAGCCCCGCCCCGCATGTGAGCATACTACACTTGGTCCACCGTAGTCCTGAGCTTACGGAGGCTCAGCCTGTCCTCCTGCTGGTTCCTGGGAGCCTCTCTCAGGTGGATCTCAAGTCCTTCGTCAGGAGGACATGAGGGAGCATTAGGCAGCTGGGGGTTGGAGAAGCTCACATTATGTCTGGAAACCCAGGTATGGTAGCAGATACAAGTGGTGGAGCAAGTGACTCTCCTGATGGTCCAGTGTAAAGAATCCACCTTCCAAAGCAGGGGACGCGGGTTTGATCCCTGGTTGGGGAACTAAGATCCCACATGCCGCGACTTGTGCGACCCAACTGCTGAGCCGTGTGCTCTAGAGCCCGTGCTCTGCAACATAAGATCCCACGTCCACAGCTAAGACCTGATGCAGCCAAATAAATAAATATAAAGAAGGGGTGGAGGGAGGGCAAAGCATGTGCCACAATGGCTTGACCTTAAGGGGGTGCATGTGGAGAGCAGAAAGTGATGGCAGGGCCTCAGATTCCCCCAGCTTGTGTCTGAGACTAGGCTCTGGTGCAAGAGAGGAGATAGGAAGCAGTAGGAAGAGGGTCATTGAGAAGCTGTGATCACTCATCTAGAGCCAGACATCCTGGAATGCAAAGTCAGGAGGGCCTTAGGAAGTATCACTGCTAGCAAAACTTGTGGAGGTGATGGAATTCCTGCTGGGCTGTTTCAAATCCTAAACGATGATGCTGTTAAACTGCTGCATTCAATATGCCAGCAAATTTGGAAAACTCAGCAGTGGCCACAGGAGTAGAAAAGGTCAGTTTTCATTCCAATCCCAAAGAAGGGCAATGCCAAAGAATGTTCAAACTACTGCACAGTTGCACTCATCTCACACGCTAGCAAGTAATGCTCAAAATTCTCCAAGTCAGGCTTCAACCATACGTGACCCATGAACTTCCAGATGTTCAAACTGTATTTAGAAAAGGCAGAGGCACCAGAGATCAAATTGCCAACATCCATTGGATCATAGAAAAAGCAAGACAATTCCAGAAAAACTTCTACTTCTGCTTTATTGACTATGCCAAAGCCTTTGACTATGTGGATCACAACAAACTGGAAAATTCTTCAAGAGATGAGAATACCAGACCACCTTACCTGCCTCCTGAGAAACCTGTTCAAAATTGGGAAAGGAGTACGTACGTCAAGGCTGTATATTGTCACCATGTTTATTTAATTTATATGCATAGTACATCAGGCAAAATGCTGAACTGGATGAAGCACAAACTGGAATCAAGATTGTTAGGAGAAATATCAATAACCTCAGATATGCAAATGATACCATTCTAATGGCAGAAAGTGAAGAGGAACTAAAGAGCCTCTTGATGAAGGTGAAAGAGGAGACTGAAAAACCTGGCTTAAAACTCAGTATTCAAAAAAACTAAGATCATCGCATCTGATCCTATCACTTCATGGCAAATAGATGGGGAAACAATGGAAACAGTGACAGACTTTATTTTCTTGGGCTCCAAAATCCTGTAGAGAGTGGCTGTGCCATAAAATTAAAAGATGGTTGTTCCGTGGAAGAAAATCTATGACAAACCTAGGCACCATATTAAAAAGCAGAGATATCACTTTGCCAACGAAAGTGTGTAAAGTCAAAGCTATGGTGTTTCCAGCAGTCATGTGTGGATGTGAGAGTTGGACCATAAAGGAGGCCGAGCACAGAAGAATTCATGCTTTCAAATTCTGCTGCTGCAGAGTCCCCTGGACGGCAAGGAGATCAAACCAGCCCACCCTAAAGGAGATCAGTCCTGAATATTCACTGGAAGGACTGATGCTGAAGCTGAAGCTCTAATACTTGGGTCACCTGATGAGAAGAGTCTGTTGACTGGAAAAGACCCTGATGCTGGGAAAGATTGAGGGCAGGAGGAGAAGGGGACGACAGAGGGTGAGATGGTTTGATGGCGTCACCAACTCAGTGGATATGAGTTTCAGCAAACTCCGGGAGACAGTGAAGGACGGGGAAGCCTGGCGTGCTACAGTCCATTGCGTCGCAGAGTTGGACATGACTGAGTGAGTGAACACCACCAAAGTGTGGCGTCAGAGCTGGCCGTGTGGGTGTGAACTCGGGGAGCTCCCAGCTGTGCCCACTGAGAGGACCCAGCAACTGACAACGTCCCAGAGCAGCGAGCACCCCCAGCCCCCAGGCTGTGTCCCTAAAGACCGTTTCTTTTCTTTTTTTTAAGCCCGTTTCTTTCCAGCAAGACCCGGGTCGTCTTGGTGCTGTGGCTGGTCACAGGCCAGCAGGCAGGTGTAGAGGGCGAGCCGGGCAGTGCCCCGTCACACCAGACAGCAGACCGCTAGCGTTCGGCTGCCAGAGGCATGTACAGTGGCTGGAACTGACTGGATACAAGGCACATTTTTTTTTTTAACAAAGCTTTTTCTACTCTAGTGATAGGACCAAGAAATGAAATGTGAATTCATTTAAATGGCAATAAAAACTGGAGATTGAAATGAACACAAGGGGCACAGGACTGAGGTGATGAAAATGACCAAACACTGTGGAGAGCCTAGAGAGAAAACAGCCCCTGGGTGCACGGACCCGGCCCTTCCCCGGGGAAGGCGACGCTGGGCCCAGGTCCACCCAGCGCCCCCTCCCGGAGCAGCCCCGGACCTCTGCTCCCTGGGACAGGGCTGCCGGCTCCTGCCTGGTTCTCCCCGACCTGTCCCACTGGACATCTCTCAGCTCGTGGGCCTTCGCCCTGGATCCCGTGCCCCCATCAGTGTCCCTGCCCTGTCCCATGGGGAGGCCACCAGCCCACGGCTCCTGTTCCTTCCCCAGCTGGGCCGGCCGCGGGGAACACTGCGTGAGCCCCGGGCTTCCTCACCGTGCCCTAGAGTGTGGGACTCCCCGCCATGTGTGTGTCCAGAACACAGAACCTGAGATGGCGGAGGGGTGAGCCCTTGGACACGTCCGAGCTGGGCAGGGGCTCTGTGGTCCCGAAAGGCGGTGCGCCCCGGGAGGGAGGGAGCGCCCACCCGGCCCACCGCGTTCATGGCTCTGAGCGGTTTCCTCTGATGGACGGAGCCGGCTGGGAGTCCAGCGTGGCAGCCTGTCCATTGGTGGCCGGCTGCTCGCTGCCCCGGACGGCATCAGGCGCCCTCCCTGCCCTCGGGTCCCCTCCCTTCCTCGCACCTGGCAGGCCCCTGCTCCCTGACACTGTTTAGAATTGTTCTGCTATGACCGCATGATGTGCTTCCATGGGAAGATGAGTTAAAGTTGAATTCTGAGTTAAAAACTCTCTTTGGGGGATGACATGAAGCTTCGAGACTGTTGGGTGCGGGGTCCGGCCATCTCCTTGCCCCAGAGCACAGTGGTGGGTGGGGACCTGTGCCCCGCTTGGGGCCTGGGGGCCAGAGGGGTCTCACAGGGTGGCCCTGCAGCCAGTGTGAGCCCACTTCTGAGTCTCTGTCTGGCGGGGGTGTCGAGAGGTTCCTGCGAGCCGGGGTCTGGCCGCCCGCTGTCCGGCATCACCCGCCAGCTGCCCTTTCCTCCCAGGCTCCTCCCCCGCATGCCCCGGCCCTGTCCCCGCAGAGCCCTGTGCGGGGGCCCCAGGCAGTCAGGGAGCTCCCTCCTGGCTCTGCTCCCTGTGCCAGCCTCCACGTGCAGGGCCGTCACCAGCCCCTCTCACCTGGGACCTGACCGCCGCACGGAGCGGCCCCTCGTCCCCTCCAGCCCCGCCGGGCCCTCCACGCCCCCCGGAGGCCTTCCTGGTCCCAGCCGCTGCCGCCCCACGTCACTGGAACCCGAGGAACCGGCTGCCCTGGGGACACAGGCCGCGTGGAGACGCGGGCCCAGGAGGGACCTTCTCCTCTTTCGGACTTGGGGACACCTGGAACTCACCCTTCCCTTGGATCCGCCCGAGAGGAGGCCTCAGAGCTGGCCCTGACACCAGCAGGGGGCAGGTGGTGAGGAGGGTGCTCAGGGGGAAGGGCCGTGAGCCTCAGAACCAACCTGGGAAGGGCAGTCGTGAAGCCTCCCGGTGCCTGGGGGCAGGCGGTCAGTGCCGGTCCGTCCTGGAGACGGTGCCTGGCTGGGTGGCTCCTCCCGGGAGCTCAGAGCACGGCTGAGGGGAGCACATGCAGGCCTGCCACCCCTGAGAGGTCAGGATGCTGAGCCATCAGCATCCCTCCCGTGCCGGGCTGGTCGGGCCCTGCGCCAGGTGTCCAGGTGTCAGAGGCCACAGAGCCCCGCCTTCCTGACTTGCTCCTGTCTGCAAGAAGGAAAAGAGTGGGTGATGTGTAGGGGGTGGTGTTCCGGCTGAGTGAGGGGTCCTGGTGGGCCTGGCAGAACACAGGGGCCTGCCCACTGGAAGATCAGGGCCAAAGCACCTGGATGCAAGCTGTGCCTGCACTGTACACAGGCCGCGGCGAACGCCCGGAAACAACCCAGGTCCCGGAGACGGTGGCTTTGCCAACATCCTGCTGAGGCCACAGGAGGCAGGCAGGGCCAGGGCCGCCTGGCTGTGAATTCCGTCCAGACGTCCAGGAAGTGCCTGCAGCCTGAGCATCAGGACTAAACAGGGGCCTGACTTGGGGGCTGTTCTTGCTGCAGGCTGGGCCCCCTGGATCCAGGGCCACGGCCGGGCCACAGGTGAGAAGCTCACTTGTATTTCAGAGATGTGCCTGCCTCCATGGGCAAACCTAGCTAGGTCCAGGTTGCAGCCCACCGTTTCCATGGATTTACACAAACACAGTTGAGGCTGACAGCCACCACCTTCTGCTTGTGCCCCCCAGGACAGAAGCTGTAAACACTAAATGAAGCTTTCTCAGCACTCCCTTGCAGTTGGGGGGGACCATGTGACCGCATTTTGGCCAAGGTGGAGGAGGAGGTTTGTTAGAGGCTTCTAAAAGGCTTTTGGTTCCTTATTATGACTGGTACTGTCCTTTCTACTTTCTTGCTGATCCAAATGTTTATGTGATGTCTGGAACTTGGCAGCCATCTTGTGACTATCAAGCCACGAGCATGGGGAGAGAGAGGTCAGTTTTCTCAATGTGATGGGGCTGAGTCTGCCAGAGCCAGCAGCTTCCCTCCCAAGCTTCTAGATTGGTGAGGGGAGTCTGCCATTGTTTTCTGATTCCTGCGGCTGAGGTTCCAAGTCACGTGGGTTTTACTGTTGTTGTTCAGTCACCCGGTTGTGTCTGACTCTTTGTGACCCCGTGGACTGCAGCACGCCAGGCCTTTTTATGCTGATGTGTGAATGCATGTCCTGGCCCTGGCAACTCCTTGAGCCCCGGACTCCTTTTTCAGCACTGCTGGGCACCTCCTCTTGGTGTCTCAGGACATTTCACACTCAACAGATTTGCTTCCGATCTCGTTCCCACCCTGTGGTTTCCCTCCCTCGGTACCCCAAGCCAACTCAAACCAGGTCTGAGGTAGGGGGTGGGATGTGTGCTGGGCTTCATTCACTCACTCAGCACACATGAGCCGAGCACTGCGCATGTGCCAGCTGCCCTTCCAGAAACAGAGGAGCTTACCTGACAGTGGGCAGAGCTGTGCTGTGTGCTCAGTCGCTCAGTCCTGTCCAACTCTGCGAGACCCCATGGACTGTGGTCCGGCAGGCACCTCTGTCCATGGGTATCCTCCAGGCAAGAATACTGGAGTGAGCTGAGGAAATGGCAACTCACTCCAGTATTCTTACCTGGAGAATTCCATGGACAAAGGAGTGACGATCACCTCCAGGGGATCTTCTCAACCCAGGGATCAAATCCAGGTCTCTTGCAATGCGGGAGGATTCTTGACCGTCTCAGCCACCAGGGAAGCCCAGTGGGCAGTATAGACTACATAGGGACAGATGCAATTGTGACACCTTCAGGTGGCAGTGATATATGAGGAGCAGGGTGAGCTGCAGGGAGGTTGGGAGACCCCCTGCCCACAGCCCAGAGAAGCGGGGGGCAGCTGGTGCAGAAACTTGGTAGACAGTCTGCTGCTGAAGCCTCCTGAGTGCCGAGGTCCTGGGGCTGGGTGTTTGAGGAACAGGAGGACGTGGAATGGCTGGAGGGTAGGGGTGGAGCAGGGGCCTGGGGACTGGCTGGAAAGACTTGCACTTTCCTGAAGGGTTTAGCACAGGAGGCTCTTCAATTATGGGATTTAATCAAGGGTTTGGGCTTGTTGAAAGAAAATGAAAGTGCTAGTCACCCAGTTGTGTCCAACTCTTTGAGACTCCATGGACTGCAGCCCGCCAGGCTCCTCTGTCCATGGGATTCTCCAGGGAAGAACACTGGAGTGGGTTGCCATGCCCTTCTACGGGGGCTCTTCCTGAGCCAGGGACCGAACCTGCATCGCAGGCCGACTCTTTACCATCTGAACCACCAGGAAGACTTTGAGCACTTCGGATTTTTTAATAAAAGGGCCTTTTGGGCTGCTGAGGGGGAATGACCTCAGGCCACCCAGTGGAGGTGCCAGGTCCCAGGGGCAGGGACACAGGAGGGGGTAACCAGGCCATCAGGGTTTGGGAGTAGCAGGGATCAGGACAGAAGGTGGGGGGGAGGGGGGCGGAAACCAGAGCAGGCGAAACAGCCGCTGTCCCTGGGGGTAGGCTGGGTTTGGAGGGCAGAGTTGGAGCCAGTCTGGACCTTGGAGGCTGTGATGCCTCTGCACATCCCAGTGGGGGTTTGGGGCGAGCCCAGGCTAGGGTGTAAGTCTGGGGCGGCCTGCAGATGGTGAGCAGAGCTGAGACTGGCCGGGCCTCCCCCTTCTCAGTACAAAGTGGCCCTCCAGGTGGTGTGGTACAAGGAGCCCCTCCTGGCTGAGCCACTCCAGCTTCTTCACCCCGCCAGGGGATGGCGGGACAGGGAGTCCCTGCCTGTCCCTCCTCATCTGCTCACTGCCTCTCCCTGTGAGTTCTGGCCCAGGACCCCTGCCCACACCACCTTCAGCTCCTGCACCCAGGCAGGCCCTCCTGCCCTCACGGTCCCTAGGCTGGAACTCAGGGGTCTCAGTCAGGCCCGTCTCTCAGGGTGCCCTGCTCAGGGCTGAGGGTCCCCAGACCTGTTTTCACCTCTGACCGCCCCTGCCCCCCATGGAGTAGGTCCCCCTCTTGGCTTCTCCCAGCTTCTGAGCAGTGGACAGTGCCAAGTGGGGGTGGTGTCTGATGACTCAGGCCCATCCTGGGCTTCGCCCCCACCCCAGGGCCCCCACGGGCCAGCGCACAGTAGGTGCTGGACACAGCTATTACACAGGCGCCGGGAGACGGATCGGGTAGGGAAGGGGGTAGGCAGCAGAGGCTCCTTCCGGGCCCTGTACTCAGTGCTGAAGCGGTCCTCTGCCCACAGGTGCTTCTGGGCCGTGCTCCTTCTCCTGGCCCTGGCTGTGCTCCTGCTGGCCGGCGTCATGCACGTGGACGTCAGGCTGCTCATGCCGTGAGTCCTCCACTGGGTGGCCTGAGGTCTGGGCACTGCCCCCTCCCCGAGCAGTACTGGGATGGGACCCCAGCGTGCCCTACTCCAAGTGGCACCCAGCCTTGCCTGTGACTGTGGCAGGCCACGCCTCCCTTCCAGGCCTCAGCCTCCCCTCTGCAATGGAGGAGGGGCTCTTCCTGTGGTCACCCAGCCTGGGGGCCTCCTACTATCTCCCATGGGCAGTAACTCCGGGGAGGGGTATGGGAGGGTTGAATCTGGGCCAGGTTGGGGGTGCCCTGGGCAGAGCTGCTGTGTGCAGAGGGTAACCAGGAGGCAGGGCTGGGGTGGTTAGAACCCCCTAATGGTCTGGGGGTCAGGACCCCTGCCCCCTGCTGGTTTGTGGTATGGCCTCTGTGAAGCCCAGTGTCCTCCTGATGGCTACCCAGCCCCAGTGCCTTAGCCTGGCTGCTGGGAGGGCCCTCCAGCCCTGGGCCTGGTTGATCTCCACAGGAGAGGGGAAGTGCTAAATTTCCTGGGTATCCTTGCCTACCCCCGAGGCCTGGCACTAGCCTCTGGACCCTGTCTCCACCATCCTGGGTCACTCTCACCAGCCCTGTTTTGGGGTCCTATGTTGGGGCAGGGTGGGCACCAGCTCCAGGCTGGCGTCCACAACTGGGTGGGTGACACCCTGAGATCATGGGAGTGGGCACCAGCGTCCAGTCTTGCCTGGCGGTGAGTCAGCCTGCTCAGCATGCACCGCTGGTCATATGGCCTGGGTCACAGGGCAGAGCCATGCAGGGCGCCCTCAGAGCCAGGCAGGAGGTTGGGAAGCAGAGGGGTGCAGGGCCTGGGAGAGCAGCCTGCAGTATGTGGGAGCAGGTGGTGCAACCACTGGAAGGGCACAGCTAGGGCGGGGTCTCAGGTAAGGGGGCACAGTGGCGGGGCTGGGTTGGGTGTTTCCAGCTCAGGGAGTGTGGGTCGGGGAAGCCTGGACGGTGGAGCACCTTTGCTGGCCTCCAGGTTCAGGGGTCGCAGGGCTGGGATCTCTCCGGCTGGGCAAGCGCGAGGATCCCCGGCCCACGGCGCTGCACTTTTCCCCCAGCCAACTCGGGGACCAAGTTGACGGGCCCCCCGTCACCAACGTCATGTTTCTTAAGACGCACAAGACGGCCAGCAGCACGGTGCTCAACATCCTTTTCCGCTTCGCCGAGACGCACAACCTGTCGGCGGCGCTGCCTGCTGGCGGCCGCTTCCACCTCGGTTACCCCTGGCTCTTCCTGGCGCGCTACGTGGAGGGCGCGGAGCAGGGCGGCCCCGAGCGGCGCTTCAACATCATGTGCAACCACCTGAGGTTCAACCCGCCAGAGGTGCGCAGGGGCGGGGCTTTCCGGGGTGGGTCTCCCGGGGCTGGGCTCCATGGGGCAGATCCTTCTGGGGGGCGGGGCTACTGGGCGGGGCTCCAGAAGGGCGGGGCTTCCCTGAGGGCAGAGCTTCCAGGGGCGGTGCTTCTGGAGGGCGGTGCTCCGGGGGCGGGGCTCATGGAGGGCCGTGGCTCACGGGCGGGGTCCCGGGGCTCCCGGGGGCGTTGCTCTCTGAGTCAGCCGCGGGAACCCGGCGTCTGCCGCCTTCTCCCTCTTCTCCCTCTCCTCCTGGGTCCAGACTCACCAGCTCGTCCCTCCGCAGGCCCTTTTCACGTGTTCACGGCTCCTTCTCTGGGTCATTCGGGTCTTAGCTTAGAGGGCATCTCCTCCCGGGGGCTTCTCTGACCTCCTCCCCAAAGGCTTAGCAGGGGTGACGGGGAAGGGTAATGGGGGCCGGGGCGTGGCCAGGCTCAGGGGCTTTCAGGTCGTTCTGGATGCTGGTGAAGGTGGCAGGCAGAGGAGCCAGGTGGCCTGGACTGGATGCAGGGGACTGGGTGCGGGGGGTGGGGGGCCGGGGGCAGGCTCAGGTGTGCTGCGGGGTAGGCGCAAGGGAGGAGGCACCACCTGCCCCCGGGGACCACCCCCGAAGGAGCCCAGAGGGTCACCAGCCCTTCCCCTTCTGTCTCCCAACAGGTGCAGAAAGTTATGCCCAACGACACCTTCTACTTTTCCATCCTCAGAAACCCCGTCTTCCAGCTGGAGTCCTCCTTCGTCTACTACAAGAGCCACGTCCCCGCCTTTAGGAACGTCACCAGCCTGGACGCCTTCTTGGCCTCGCCGTGGGCCTACTATAACCAGAGCCTGGGCCTGAGCAACGCCTACGCCCGGAACAGCATGTGGTTCGACCTGGGTTTCGACAACGACGCGCCGCCCAAGGAGGACTACGTGCGCGCGCGCCTGCTCGACGTGGAGAGGCGCTTCCAGCTGCTGCTCATCGCGGAGCACTTCGATGAGTCCATGGTGTTGCTCCGGCGCCTGCTGCGCTGGCGGCTGGACGACGTGGTGGCCTTCAGGCTCAACGCGCGCAGCCGGCACAGCGTCACCAGCTTGTCGCCCGCAGGCCAGGAGCGCGCCAAGCACTGGTGCGCCCTGGACTGGCGCCTCTACCAGCACTTCAACCGCACCTTCTGGGCCCGGCTGCGCGCAGAGCTGAGTCCGCGGCGTCTGCGCTCTGAGGTGGCGCGGCTGCGCGAGCGGCGGCGCGAGCTGGCCGCCCTGTGTCTGCAGGACAGCGAGCCCAAGAACAAGTCGCAGATCACCGATTTCCGACTGCGCCCCTACCAGTCGGGCAGGGCGGACATCATGGGCTACAACCTCAAGCCGGGCCTTGACAACCAGACGCTGCAGACGTGTCAGCGGATGGTCATGCCCGAGCTCCAGTACATGGCCCACCTGTACACCCTGCAGTTCCCCGACAAGCCCCCCAAGAACATCGCCTTCCTGGAGGCCTAGAGGGATGGCGCCGCGGACTCTGGCCAGGCCCTCTCCTGTTGTCCCTGGAAGGCCCCGGGCGCTGCCTCAGGCTCCGAGGGGTCTCCTGGGGGCACCTGGGGTATCCAGGCCCTGCCAGACCACCAGCCCTCAGGACGAAGACCACCCATGATCCATCCTCTCGGAGGTGACCTCTCCGCTGAGGACCTGAAATATAGGACACCATCGCACCTGGACTGAGGATGTGAGCCTGCTCATCAGATTCACCAGATAGAAATGTCTTACCAGGTGGGAAAGTGAGAGATCTTCCATCAGAAGAAAGGAATCTGGAGCTCAGAGCGGCTCCCCCTACTTTGCCAGCCATGGGGACATGACCCTGGTCACTGAGACACTGTCAGCACCCCACACTCTGGAGGCGGGCCCGGGGACCTGGGTCTGGAAGGGTCTGGAATGCTCGGTTTTCCTTCTTTGGCTGTATGAGGCTTATTTCCAACTGAAGAACGGTTTTGGATTGAGAAATGTTAGAACTGCTTACAAGGCAAATGGTTTAGCGGAGCACAGGTTGAAGGCTGGTGCTGCAGGTCTGAGCTGCGACAACCCCCCCCAAAAGATGAATGGAGGAGGAGACCTGCCGGAGAGCTGAGAGAGGACTGCTGTACCCTTGGTTGCCGTGGAGACAGCACTGGATGAAACCCCAGAGGAGGGTGGCTTCCAGGCCCCCTTTCTTGTGGTTTGTGTGGAGGGAGTGAGGATGCCTGCCTGGCAGAACGTGATCCCTGGCTGCTTGGGGGCCCAGTGGTTAGTGGGGTGCACACACCCAGAACCATGTGCCCCATGCCTGAGAAAAGTGGGCTACCTGGAGCACCCAAGAAACAGAGCTGCTCTTTCACACTCAGCTGAGAGGCTCAGCCTGGCCTGTCCGTCTGGCTCTGGGGTCCCCTTCCTTCCACGTGGGGACCTCAGCCCTGAGGACCCTGGCACCTGCTCAGGCGCTCCTGGGTCCAGACATGTCCACACTTTTCAGGAGAATCAGCACTTCAAAGAGAAGGGGAACTCTCACCCACAGAACAGGCAGCAGCTAACTTGGACACAATTTAATGGAAGGACTTATGAAGAATAAATTTTCAGTAAGAATATGGGATATACTGCAGCAAATTTGAGAATAAATGACAATATTTAGAAACAGAAAAAAATGAACAGTCCATGCAGGATGGACCAGAGATCCAGGTCAGCAGGAGACGCCCCACTCCCTCCCCTCCCCCGCCCCCAGGAGGTTCCTCCATCCTCCACCCACAGGAAAATGCAAAGAGGGAAATTGCAAGGGAGAGAGGAGACAGGGAATCAGATCCCAGATGAGCCAACCTGAGAGGAGTCTGGGAAGGGGTGTACGGGCCATGGACTAGAGCTGATAGCCAAACAAAAATGGGGAAAATGACCCTGATTTAAAGAAAGCCTCGAGCTTCCCTGGTGGTCCAGTGGTAAAACCTGCCAATTCAGGAGACACAGGTTTAATCCCTGACCCAGGAGGATCCCACATGCCACAGGACAACTAAACCCGGGCACTGCAGCTACTGAGCCTGTGCTCGAGAGCCTGGGGGCTGCAACTACCGGCCTCGTGAGCCGTGGCTGCTGAAGCGCGCGGGTCCCCGAACCTGTGCTCTGCAACAAGCAGAGCCACTGCAATGCGAAACCCGTGCACGGCAATTAGAGAGTAGCTCGTGCAGCAGTGAAGACCCAGCACAAACAGAAATAAATAATAAAAATAAACATTAAAAAAGACCCAGTGCAGCCAAAAACAAGTAAACTAAAATAAAAATACTCAAATCCCATCACTGCTCTGAGCCTCAGGCACATCTGCCAACCGCCAGAGAAAACACAATCCCTGCTCAGCTGATGTGAACAAGCGAGTGAATCTAGGATAAGCAGGAAGCACGGAGGCCTCTTACTACCAAACGAGCGGGCTGTCTCTGGTGAGCCGGTGTCAGACCGTCACTGCTGCCCACAGAGCCAGCACCGTGGAAGTGGGCTGTTCTCAGCTGCACGGTAACCAAGAGCGCGAAACTGTCATGGAGATTCAGTGACAGTTACTTTTGTCTTTGAGGTTGGCAGGAGCATCAACCAGCACTGTCTTTTCGGAGGGAAAATTGGGGGTGTCTATCACAACGTAAAGCGCATGTGGTTTGTAACAGACAACTTTGGAAGCAGTCCGTCTGCTTGTCTGTCCAGTTTAACATGCAGAGTCTGATGCCGCCAGTAAAGCTGGCAGCCTGGACTCTATGGTCTCCTTTCCAGAGGGGCTCTGGCTGTGTGTTGTTGGACGCGGGGTTGGTGGGCGGGGCTGCCCACCCGGCTGCCCATCCGGGGTGGGTGTGCAGGGGAAGCTGGGGAGAGAGGCTGGTTTTTCAAGGGAAGCAGGTTCTTATGCGACATCTCCATGTTTTAAAAAGCTGGCATCTAACTAAAACATTAAAACGCTTGAGAGAGGGACCAGGGCATGTGTGTGTGTGGGGGGGGGCGGAGGCGGCCTCCTTCCATGGCCCCCAGGCGCCCTGTCCTGTGCCGCTGAACAGGCGATGCAGGGGCTTGGAGGCCCGTGTCCCTGGGCCTGGGTTCTCCGAGGGGACTGGTGAACCGTGGCCGGTGGCTGGGGGCCAGGGACAGAGCTGGGCCCTCCCTTCCAGTTCGGATGGGCTCTAGAGATGTCAGGCCGTGCTAACGCTTCCTTCACACCTGTCTTCCCCTTTCCGCTCACCGCAGACCCTTGGGCTTTTATGTGGGCGCCGGCTCCCCGCTGGGGACATCCTGGGGCCCCTGGGGTGGGCAGAGTAATGTGCGCCAGGTCTCAGCCCGCTCTGCAGAGGGGACGCCACAGTGCCGCCCCACCCCCTCAGGCCGCGGGGGCCCAGCTCTGGTGACCCGCCATGGCCGTGGTGAGGAGAAGGCAGCCCAGACGCGGGGCAGGACGGGGGCTGCAGCCCGGTGGGGGCACCCTGGGGGCCGGGGGCAGGGGGTGCGAAGGACCACAGAGCACTCACTCGCCTCCTCATGGGAGACATCTCTGGGCCGCCACACCGAGCCTCCCAGGGAGGTCAGCCGTGGCCCTGCACGGCCTTGTTGGAGGATGAGCGCCCGGGGGGAGGCCGGTCCGTCAGCAGAGGGGGGCCCCGGCGGCCCCAGCCTGATGGGGCCCCTCCCGTGGGCCCTTTCACCCCCCGCCCGCTCTCTGCCGCGCCAAAGCCACACAGCTGGCGGGACGGTCCTGGGCCCTGACGCAGCCCTGGGCCGTGGCCAGCGTCCGGCTCCTGGCCACACAGTGGGGTCTGTCTCTGCCCGGGAGTGGGTCAGAGAGGCAGGCGCTCCTGCGGCCACCCTGCAGCCGGTTTGCCAGCCCGGTGAGTCCCTCTCCGCTCACCCATACCCTGGCCCTGGGGCTCAGGACCTGCCCCTCTTTGGGGTGGGGGCAATGGGCTTGTGGACCAGGGTCCCCTCCTCCATGGGACGATTTCCTGAAGGGCCCCAGGGTATGTTTAGAGGATGGGATGGTTGTCGACTGGGTGTCAGGGCCCAGTGGGCACTGCTGCTCACATGGCCTGGAGGTGACGCTTCAGCAGGCAGGAGTGTCTGTAATTGAGGCCTTGCGCTGGACAGGGCCCAGGACACCTGCGTTAGACTGGAGACCCATCCTGAGGGGACAGCCAGGTCTGCCTGTCTTGAGTGCAAAGGGCCTGTGACGTTCTCCTGTGAGTGTGCCGTTCCCGGCCTCGAGGGTGTGGGCAGGGGGCTGGGCTGGCTCAAGCTCCAGGGTGGGGCCCAGACAGGACTGGCTGTGGGACTGCAGGGCGGGCCCTGCCTAGACACAGTGACCCCCAGGGGCTCCCTGCCCCCGGGGTCCAGGGCCAGGGGACCAGACTGTCGTGGAGGTCCCTTCTCCTCCCCAGGCCTTGTCTCTCCCTCTGTGATGCATCACCCCTGGGGAGGTCCACGCTGGGGAGGGAGGATGGGCGCTGTCTCCCCTGAACGCCGGGGCACAGCCATCCTGGTGGCGCCAGACGTCTGGAGCCTGCCGCACTGGCCCAACCGGCAGGCCTGTGAGCTGGAGGGCCTGCTCCTCTGCCTAGATTGAGGTCCCCCCGAGACTCGGGCTCTGCAGGGACCCAGGGCCTGGCCCGGGTCCACTGGCCTGCAGCACCGCCCGCTCTGTGCAGGGGGGGCACTGGCCAGCGAGCCTTTGGACCCTCCATTCCCGCTGCCTGGGCCCGCAGCGGGGGCAGGGCCCGCGCCGCCTGCTTCTGCTGGCACCGGCTCCGCGGGGACCCCAGGGGAGAGAATGTCCCCTTGTTACCCTGCAGCCTGCGGGGCACGCGGCACCGGCATCTGCTTCCTGCTGGGGCACAATCGCCCTTTGGATGCAGAGCGGGGTGGCCCGGGGCTTCCAGGACGCAGGAAGCCCCTCCTCTGGCACCACCCCCAGGCGGAGGGTGGGCGGGCCTGGAGTGAGGCGAGTTCTGCAGGGCTGAGTGAGGCGGGGTCTTCAGGGCTGAGTGGGGGCGGGGTCTTCAGGGCTGAGTGAGGGCGGGGTCTGCAGGGCTCAGTGGGGGCGGGGCCGGCTGCCCGTGAGCCTCCCAGGGGCAGGCGGTCCTGGGCAGAGGTGGACCGGGGTGGACGTGTATGTCTGCCTGGGGGACCTCAGGCATGGAAGTGTGTGCGTTCGTCCTGGTCGCCCCGCTCACCATCCCGACTGTGTCCTTGGATGCGCTGTCCTCGCTGTGCCGGACTACCTCGCCTCAGCACCCGGTCTGGTCACCGCTGCGTGTCTGGCCCTCAGGCCTCCACTGCTCAGACCCCCCCTCCCCTCCCCCCGCTCACGTTGCAGCCCCGGGACCCCTCTGTGCTGTGGGGAAGGGAGCGGACTCCATCCTGTCCCTGGGTGCGGCCCGAGCCCCCCCAGCTCTGTGCAGGTAGCCAGATACTGTGTAGCCCAGGGAAGCCCATCCGAGGCCCCACCCTCTCAAGCCTCCTTCAGGTGCATCCTCCTGGGAGGGGGGCAGCCCCCGCAAAGACTGCCCAGGCCACTCTGTCACCCCTGCAGGAGCCTGGCCTGTGGGCAAGCAGGGCTGGGAGACCAGCCAAGGTTTAGGGATTCAGGCTCTGTAGTCAGACAGCCTTGCTGAAGGGGCCCCTCTGCATGGTGGCTGAACCCAGAGGCTCTCCCTCCTGTCGGGGGCGGCCAGTGCCCGGGGTGGCAGTCTCCCCTGCACCTCCCCTCTAGGTTTCAGCTCTGGGAGGCCCCCTTTCTTCACCGCACCCCCAGCCTGGCTTCTCCCCTAAGTGTGCTCCCGCTTCTGGGGGCCCGTCATGGCGGGCATGGATCTTCCTCCACCCCTGTGTGGGAGCCGCTGCTTTTCAAGTTCAAAGCCCTGCCCCTGAGAGCAGACCATCGACCCCACCTTGACTCCTTTCTGCCTGGAGGGGGCAGGGCAGGGCCACAGAGTGGTGACCTCTCTGGCCTCCTTGGGGTCCCTCTCACTACCTGCACTAGCCTGTACCACCCCTAGCTCTCTTGCGGGTACACGTGTGAGCTATTTGGGGTGCCTATTGGTAGGGGCATCTCTACTGGGCCTCCAGCATCCCCAGCCTTGCTCAGGAGCCTAAGGGGGCGGGGTGGCAGGTCCCCTCCCCCGCTGGGGCCCGGAGTGTGGGACCTTTATGTGCAGGAGACCGCTGGGGCCCCCTCTTGGGTCTGCAGGCAGCCCCTACCTCTCTTGGCCACTCTCCTGAGTCCTCTGGCCCCGTGGACCCCAGTCTGAGAGCAGCAGCATGGCTGTCTTCCTCCAAAAAGCCTCGGGCCAGCGTGTGGGGCAGGTGAGCAAGCTTCGTGTCCCTCCGTGGCCTCTTCTGCATGTGGTGTCTGCACGGCTCCTGTGGTCGAGGGGCCTCTGTTTGGGGATGCTGAGCCCCTCCTTATCCAAAACCCTGGGGCCTGACTGTCCCCTTAACAGCCCCCTGCTGGGCCGGCGCTGTAATGGAGTCAAGCACGTGGCTGGGCAGTGTCCAGGGGCTCTGACACCAACCAACTCCCTCTCCCTGGGTGATGCTGAGGAGAGGAAGACATTAGAGCTGCAGTGTCCTCGGGGAGGGGCTGTCCTGGACTGGAGGGTGGGGCGGTAAGGGGGCCTGGGACAGGGCGGTCTCTGGGGTGGGCACAGGGAAGGTGGATGGGACACCGGCACCCGCCGGAAACCCTCACCCATCTGGAGGGAACAGCGGGGAGCCTGGAGGACTCCCCGGCCGCTGACCCGCTGACCCTGGGTCCTCGCCCCTGCCCGCAGAGCATGGGGACCCCGCGTGTCCCCGCGCGGACCGTCCTCTTCCAGCGCGAGCGGACGGGCCTGACCTACCGCGTGCCCGCGCTGCTGCCCGTGCCCCCAGGGCCCACGCTGCTGGCCTTCGCGGAGCAGAGGCTCAGCCCCGACGACGCCCACGCCCACCGTCTGGTGCAGAGGACCGGCACACTGGCCGGGGGCTCCGTGCGGGTGAGCGCGCTGGGGGGCGAGTTTGGGGGCCGCGCGGACGGACGGACGTGGGACTGAGGCTTGGCCCCACTCCGCAGTGGGGCGCCCCGCGCGTGCTGGGGACGGCGGCCCTGGACGAGCACCGCTCCATGAATCCCTGCCCCGTGCACGACGCGCGCACGGCCACGGTCTTCCTCTTCTTCATCGCCGTGCGTGGCCGCACCCCCGAGGCCGCGCAGATCGCCGCGGGCAGGAACGCCGCACGCCTCTGCTGCGTGACCAGCCGGGACGCGGGGCGCAGTTGGGGCGGCGCGCGGGACCTCACGGCGGAGGCGGTGGGCAGCGCCGAGCAGGGTAAGTGGGCGCGGCCGGGCCTGCGAAGGGGCGAGGGGCGGGTTGTCTGAGCCGGGAGGGGGCGGCGTGTGCACCCGGGGCTGGTGGGGGGTGTTGGGCTGGAGGACCCGCCTCTCCCCGCTCCCAGCCTCAGTGCCGCCCACACGGCCTGCTCCGCCGTCTGGCCCTTGTGCCTGGGACCCTCAGCCCGGCGCCCCGAGGGCTTGTCGCCTTCCTGAGCCTCCGCCCCTGCGCTGAGCCGGCTGGCCGGAAGCCCCGGACGGTCACTCTCACTGCTTTCTCCTTGGCCTCCCCGCCCTAAGCCCCGCCCCCGCCCCTCCTTGCCAGGGTTGCAGCCGGGTAGGATGGCTCGACCCCAGAGCTTTCCTGTGTTCTTGCTGTCGGTTCCCTGAGGGCTGACCACCCATTGCCCTCTGGAGCCACCCTGCCCCTGGCTTGTGTGTGCTGACTCAGGGGTCACTCACACTCTGGCAGGTGGGAGCTCTCTGCTGGTGTGGACCCCACCCCAGAGGACCCCTCCTGGGGTGACCCCGGCCCCTCCTTCCTGCAGACTGGGCCACGTTCGCTGTGGGGCCAGGCCACGGTGTCCAGCTGCGCTCTGGCCGCCTGCTGGTGCCGGCCTACACCTACCATGTGGTCCGGCGTGAGTGCTTCGGCCGGATCTGCAGGACCCGTCCCCAGTCCTTCGCCTTCTACAGCGACGACCACGGCCGCACCTGGCAGCACGGGGGCCTTGTGCCCAGCCTGCGCTCGGGCGAGTGCCAGCTGGCCGCGGTGGATGGCGGGCAGGCCGGCGGCGTTCTCTACTGCAACGCTCGGAGCCCACTGGGCAGCCGCGTGCAGGCCCTCAGCGTGGACGAGGGCACCTCCTTCCTGCCTGGGGAGCTGGTGCCCGCCCTGGCCGAGACCGCCCGGGGCTGCCAGGGTAGCATCGTGGGCTTCCCAGCCCCGCCTGCCAGCGGGCGGGAGGATGAGGAGTGGTCGGTGGGCACCAGCAAGCCCCTCCACTTTCCACACCTCTGTCGTGGGGCCCAGGATGCCCCAGAAGAGGGCACTGGAGACACCCGCGGGGGCGGGGGGCTGGGTGCTACAGAGGGCTGTGGCGACGGCCCCGGGGAGCCTGGCCCCTGGGAATCTGGTGAGAACAGGGGCTCCCGGGCCTCGGTGCTCCTGGGACCCCCTGCAGCTTTGTCGCAGAGCCCCACGTGGTTGCTGTATTCCCACCCCGTGGGGCGCAGGGCTCGGCTCCACATGGGCGTCCGCCTGAGCCGGGCCCCACTGGACCCCCAGAGCTGGACGGAACCCTGGGTCATCCACGAGGGCCCCAGTGGCTACTCGGACCTGGCATCCATCGGGCCTGCCCCCGGGGGGATCCTCACCTTTGCCTGTCTGTTTGAGAGTGGGGCCAGGGTCTCCTACGAGGAGATCTCCTTCTGCATGTTTTCCCTGAGGGAGGTCCTGGAGAACGTGAGGCTGGGCGGGGGGCACCCCGGCCCTGGAGACAAGCCTGCGGGGCATTGCCAGCCCTCCTGATGGACCCCTGGCTGTGCCCAGCCCTGGTGCCCAGGAGAGGCAGGGAGGAGGACGGGGCGGCTGCCTCTGGGAGGCGGGGGCAGAGGTCCCGTGGGCAGGGGGCTGTCCCCAGGTGATCCGCGCAGACCTCTTCCCAAGGCTGACCGCGGGCTGGGGGCCTGGGGTGGGAGGGGGCACGGGGACCCTTAGTGGAGCACACGGGGCTCGGTTGTCGGTACCGTCTTCCTCTTTAATCTTGCTCGGCTCGCGACGTTCTGGCTTATGAACGAGAAATAAAGGGATCCTGCGTATCTGTCCAGGGGCGTCTCTCCTCAGTTCTTTCTACTTCGAAGCCTGGGGAGGGTCCCCAGGGCTCTAGACACCCCCGATCCCATTGTGGGGTCTGCCTGCCTTAGCCAAACTCCCCCGGGCCGGCCAGCTGCCTGGAGGGGCGGGGGCGGGGCAGCCGCCTGGAGCGTGGGGCAGCTGCCCGCCCTGGCTGGGTCCCCGCCCAGCATCTTTCGGTTTCCTCTTCTTTGCAATATCTTACTTTCTGGTTATAAAAATAAAATACACTCGTAGAAAATTTGGAAAACAAAAAAGTGATGCACACAGATTCCCTTGCTCCCCCCACAACTATGATTACTTTTTGGCATTTCTTTCTTGAAGAAATTCTTTTTGCAAAGCGTGACTTCATTTAGCTTGCCATTCACTACCCTCCCCGTCGGCCCCGTTTCGGGCCCTGCAGGGACCTTCTGGGCTGGTCGGTTTCCCTGGTGGCCAGTCGCACGCAGTGAGCACCTCTGGGGCGTCCTTTGCTTCCTTAGGCTGGCTTCTGGGCCAGCATGACCGTCTTGCACTCTCTTCCCAACGCTGGTGGTGTCCAGGAGGCCTCGGAGCAGCGGAGGGCCCAGGGGTCCCCAGGGAACTCAGGACAGCCAGTCCCTTGGGAGCCAGAAGGGCCCTCATTGCTGCCTTCACTGTCAGCCCCCTGCAGGGGCCACTCCCTTTCTGGGGTCACCCCCGGGCTCCAGGCAGTGGTTTGGATGGGGGTCTGGGGCCCCTCAGAGCCCTGAGCATGTACAGCCGGTGACCCCCACCCCTGAGCAGCCTCAGTGCCCCGGAAGGACACCCCTTCTACCTGCCGCTTTGGGGCAGTGATTTGAGGCCACTTCTGTTTTCAGGTTTAAGCCCCAGAAACCAGCACAGAGGGCAGGTGGGGCTCTCTGCAGGCACACAGGTGCATGTGGCTGGTGTCCTGCACTCCCCTCTGCACTGATTCATGCCTCGGAGCCACCCTGAACCTCAGCTTGTGACTTGTATGGCAGCAGGAGGGTGTGTGCAGACACAGCTGAAATCAGGACTGAGACGGGGTCGGCAGGAGCGAACATCCTCAAGGGGGGAGAGGACGGTCGGGGGAGCCCTGTGGGGATGAGGCCAGGACTGCAGCAGCCTGGCACAGGTGTTCGGATGCCTGGAGCCACTAGCAGTGGGGGGTGGGGGGGGCAGGGGGACCCTCCCTGGAGCCTCGAGAGGGAGCACAGCTCTGGGCCACCTGATGGGGGGCTTCTGGCTCCAGAACTGGGGCGACTGACACCCACTGCTCATGTGAAACCGCTGCTGTCCTGCCCGGGTGCCCTGGGCCGGCCCTGACCATCACGCCTCTGAGTCCCGGTCCAGCGTCCCAGCTGGCCCCGCAGGCACACGGCCACCCTCCTGCTCCTGCTTCTGGGTGAGCCCTCCACTTACTCAGGCCAGCCAGGGTGAGAGGCCTCCCAAGCGGGCAGAGTTGGCCCTTGTGACCCGGCCGTCACGGAGCTGTGGCTCCCTTGGCTGGCCCTGTCCTGGCTTCCTGACGTCCAAGCTGTTGCTGCGGGCCTGGGTTAGGGCGTGACGCCCTTGGGTAGAGAGACAGGCCATGGGGAGAGTCCCTGGGCTCAGGACGGCTGGGCCCCCCCCAAATCTCCCTCTGCACCGATGCCTGCCGCCCCCTGAGCCTGGTCTGTCTGGGCCCCGAGGCTCGAGGCCCTGCTCTCCCGTGGCTCATCTGGGCCGCTCGCCCTACTCTCTGGGCCCAGGTCCCACTGTCGGCTTGCGGGGGGGTCGTGTGGGTCCTCGGCCCTGCTCGCAGAGCCGGGAGACTGTCCCGGGGGGAATGCCCGCTCCCTGTTCCCCGGGGCCGCCAGTCCTCAGGAGCTGCCCCTCTGCTACCTGCCTGCTGCCCTGCACCCCAGGCTGCTCCGACCCAGGCCCTCCGGGATGGCTCTGTGCTCTGCCGGCTGCCTCCTTCCTCCCCGGACTCGATGGACTGGCCCCTGGGCCATCCCTGGCTCTGTCAAGGCTGCGGCGCGGTCCCCAGGTAGGTCGGGCCTCGCTGGGCTTCTGGTTCACACTGTCCGTTTTGTCATTTTCTTCCCGGTGTTGTTCCTTCCATTTCCCTTTCTGGTCTCACTGGACCGGCAGGACCTCCAACCTGAAATAGGCGTAAGGTCCGGCAGACAGGATCCAGGCTCCCTCAGCTGTCAGTGTCCTCAGTCCGGAACCTGTGAGCTTTGTGACAAAGGGCCCCCATGACTGAGACTAAGGGCATTGAGATGGGGATTACCCTGGGTTGACGGGCGGGCCGGCTGTTACCCCAGGGGCTCTGAGAAGGAGGGCGGGAGGTCGGAGGGGCAGCAGGTCTGTGGCGCTGGGTTTGCAGACGGAGGCTGGCCGTGGAGCCGGGGGCTGCAGTGGCCCCTGGGACCTGGGAAACGCTGCGAGCAGATTTCCTGCTGGGGCCTCAAGAAGGATGGACGGAGGACGCTCCGTCTCTGCCCAGCGGGACCCAGAGCTGTGCCGTTGTGGGTTCGTCCCAGCGGATGCAGGAAACCCGGACAGGTGTTGGCTGGGTGCCTGGATCCGTTGCAGCGCTTCTGGGGCCCAAGGGCCTGAACGCTGCCCTGCTCACGGATGCGTCTGACTCTCTCCTGTGTGCTTTCCATCCTTCTCTGTCTCTGTGCTTCATTCTGGTTAGTTTCTCTTGACTTTTCTTCCAGCTCACTAGTCCTGTCTCTGCTGGGATTAACTGGCTGGAAGTCACTGCTTCCTGCCCCTTCGGTCAGACTTCCCTGGTGGCTCAGATGATAATGAATCTGCCTGCCTTGCAGGGGACCCAGGTTCAACTGCTGGCTTGGGAAGTTTCTCTGGAGAAGGGAAAGGCCACCCATCCTGTATTCCTGCCACAGACAGAGGAGCCTGGCGGGTCGCAGAGTCGGGCCCAGCAGAACGACTAACACCGTCTCTGTCTGTCTTCTCTCTGCGTGTCTCCTCCCTCCCCTCCCCGCCTCTGTCTCTGTCTCTCTCCCTCTGTCTCTGGACTCCAGTGCTGGGCTCCTTTTCCGTGTGTGCACAGAGGCGAAAGGAGAAAAGATCTGCAAGTTTTCCCATGTGTTACATGCTTTGTATGTTCCACTCCATTTAATAAAATCAAAGCCCCTCTGAAGTAGGTATTATTTCCATTTTCCAGATGTGGAAATTGAGGCTCAGCGGCTTGTGATGACCTCACAGGTTGGGGTAGAAACCAGCGTGCCATCCATTTGGTGGTTCCCACATGGTTCTTTTTTGAATGTTTTCCACTGCGTGTGATTAAAACAATTTCAATGGCCACAAGTGCTTGTTTTAATCAGTCTTCTCAGAGTCTCTCCCCACCCCTTTCTGCCCTTAAGATGACGGCAGCCTGCTCCCCTCCTGAGGCTCACACAGGAGGGGGTAAACTGGAAGATCACAGAAGTCTATCTCTTTGCAGCCAACTGGAGCGGTTGCGTGTCTGTGGTCCAGTAGCTGACGGCCCTCATGCGGTGGTGCTGGGCTGGGCTGGGCTGGGCTGTGTGCCCGCGCATAGGGCCTGTCCCTGCAGCCTGGTGCTGGCGTGGGGCCGCTTCCCTGGCCCCTAGACCTCCGTCCTGCGCCCGTTTCCTGTGGAGCCCAGACAGCAGCACAGACTCACATCCTGGCTCATGCGTTCTCAGTGCTGGCTCTATAGGCGCAAGAGCAGGGCTGTGCCCTGGGCCAGCCTGTTTCCTGCTGGGGACATACAGAGGGCTCCTGTTGTGATTATTATTGCTGCTGCAGACACAGCTGCAGTGTGCCGCTTTGAATGACTGTCTTTACAGAGACTCTCATTTCTCCAGGATGGCTTCTCAACTGTGAGGGTGACTGAGCAAAAATCTCCATAGTTTTTTATTTTAATAGATAATAGCAGACTATTTTCTTATAAGGAGTGGTAGTTCACATGCTGTTCCTACAAATGAGAAGGCTGTTGTCTGGCACACTCTTTTCCTTATTCCCATTTGGTGGGTACACAGTGGCCCATCCTGCCCTTCCCAGGTGACCGTGACCTTGTGCTTGCCCTTGTCCCTGCATGGATCCGTAGGGGAGGGGAGTGTGCGCCTCCCCTTCCGTCTCCTCTGCAGGCCCCCCTCCACCACGCCAGGGGGAAGGCTGGGAAGCAGTCTCTGGCCGGAGCCCTAGACTTTTCATCTTTCTAAACTGAGACTGCCCCCCCACCCCGCCCCTGGACACCAACTCCCCCGACCTCGTCCCCACCTGTTGGCACTCCCAGTCTGCTTCGGTCTTCACGGTTTGGCTGCTCTGAGCACTGCAGGTGAGCGGGTTGCAGCTGTCCCTCCCCTTCCACCTGGCCTATGTCACTGAGCATTGTGTTCTCAAGGTCCATCCACAGCTAGCACGTCTCAGAACTTCCTTCCTGTTTTGGCTGAATGATAGTCCGTCGTGTGGACGGGCCACACTCTGTTTATCCTTCGTCAGTCGGGACATCTGGGTTGCTTCCATCTTGTGGCTACTGCAAATAACGCTGCTGTGAATGTGGGTGGACAGAATTTTAAAAATTAATTAATGTTTTAAATGACTAATTAATAGAATTTGATAATTTGTTTTTGGAATTCAGAGTGATATAAAAACATAAAAACAGAAGACAATTGTGGATTTTGCCACCGTGGGTTGGGGGACAGTGGGCCAGCTGTACCTAAGGCAGGGACCCCAAACGGGACCCCCTCCCACACCCAGACCACGTCCTCAGGTCAGCCACGATTTGCCCGAAGGACCAGTGGGAGCTGAGTCTAGGGGAGCTGGGACCCTGGCTGGGTTGAGTTAAGGGACCTGGGGAGGCTGGTGTGTGGCTCCCGTGGCCACCGGACAGGCCACCAGGGGCTTGCGTCTCCAGGGTGGTTGAGAGGCTGGGGGCCACATGCCTGGACGTATGGTGAGTGCCACCAGGGCCTCTTCCTGCCCGAGGAGCAGGCGGCTGAGTGTCTCCTGGTGCTCAGACGACCGGGCCTGAGATGTGGGGCGGGGGGGTGACGCATCAGAGGTGGCCTTGACCTGCGGTGGGTGCAGGGTGCCCCAGACCACAGTGGGGGGCTCCGGGATCACGAACACGGGCCCCCCGTCCATGATGGGGCAGCCCATCTGGGTCGAGGTACAGGGCCGCAGGAAGGGTCCCCCACACCGCTGTGTCTGCCTTCAGGAGGGTCCCACATTCTGAAGCCTCCAAACGTAGGAACCTCACCCAGACCGCAGGGGCCTCGCTCCAACCACACCGGACCACAGACTGCAGGCACCTCCGTCCACACCGAACCACAGACCGCCCAGGCCTCCGTCCACAGCAGACCGCAGACCACCGGGGCCTCCGACCACACCAGACTGCCCACTCACTTATGGCTGAAGTCCCAGGTCCCATCCCCAGGGCAGCCCCGCCTCAGTGGCCAAGGCTGGGTTCCCTTGGAGACCCTCGGCCACAGCCCCACCCTCCCCCAGCAGACCCAGCAGACCCCGGGACCTGGGGCTCCTCTGCGGGCTGCCCCCGCCCCCCCCAGCCCGGCAGACTGGGCCAGGAGGGCGCAGGTAGCCAGGCGTCCGCTGGGCTGCGTGGGTGGGGGTGGGCGCGGTGCCGGGCGCCGGGGCGAGCGGGGACGGAAAAAGTGAGTGGGGCGCGGGGCCGCGTTACGGGAAGGCGGATGCGCAGCGCTGAGCGCCGCTCTCGGTCTCGCTGAGCTGGGCTAGGCTGCCAGGCGCCGGCTCTGCCCGCCCGCGGCCGGGCCGCTTCCGGCCCCCCGCTGCCCGCTCTTTTGTCTTTGAAATCTCTCTAGTATCGGTATGAACGCGTGGTCTTTAATCCTGCTCAGAGTGTGAATCAGGGAGATGTTCAGTGTTCAATGTGGCGTCTCTGACGCTCAGGTGGCCCCATGGCTCCTGACCGGGCCCCAGCCTGCTCTGTACCCTGGGCTGGGTCCGCCCTGCACACGGTGGCCCAGAGCCAGTTCGCCCAGAGTCCAGGCCTGGCCGCCCCTCCCGCCCCACCGTCTGCCCTCAGCACGGTGAACCCCTGGGGCTTCCGTTCCTGCCAGCCCACCCCGCCCCCGCCTCCGCCCGCCCAGGGCACACTCCACTAACTGCTGAATAGCAGCCGTTCTCCACCCGCGACACCAGGGCCTCTTCCCGGCAGGGTCGCCTGAGGTGTGAGCAAGCTCTCCGCGTTGGCTGGTTCACAGGTGTGCTTGTGACCTGCAGTTTTCTTATTTTGAGTGAAAATCAGCATCCTTTCCCTGTGTGCACATGTGTACATGCGACGCAGGGCTGGCGTGTGCATGTCATTTGCTCCCTACCTTTCCCCTGTATCTTTGACCTTGCTGTCTCCTGTAACTGGGGTATTAGCCTCCTGCGTGATATTCAAATACTGTCCCCAGTGTGCTGGTGAGGATGTTTCTCCCACGCTGCAGGGTTTCCCCCAGTTTACACTTGAATTTCCCCATCTTCTCTTTCTGGCACCTTGGGAAGCTATCTCCGCCCTCCCTATGAAGTTCTGGCATGTTTTCCTTCTGCGTCCAACGGGACTGGGACTGATGGAAGTCCAGGGCGAGAGAGACCGGTCCACCTTAAAACTTCCCAGACCACCAGGAAGAGCCCGCAGTTCCCCGTGGGCCCTATTCCTGGCTTTTCATGTGCCAATGCCACTGCTTTAAGGACCCCGAGTTTCAGATCTGAGAACCCTGCTCTTCTTTCACTTTCCTTTCCTGGATTTCTCGGCTGTTACTCGCCTGTTTGTTTTTCCAAGTGAACCTTACAGTTGCAGAAATGTGGGTTTTACTGGGATCGTGTTAAATTTGGAGGAACTGACGTCTCAGACAGTGCCACGCCTGTGCTCTGCGCTGCCCTTGCGGCTTTGCGCTTTTCTCGTGAAAGCTATGCCTGGGTGCTGTCGTCGACGGAATATTCTCTATCACTTTTTCTTCAGAGTGGTTCTTGCTGGGTGTATGAAAGCCCTTTATTTCTGGATGTTAAGGTCACAGCTGCCACGGACTAGGTTCTCCTGTTGCTGGAGCAGTTTCCCCACAGAAACTGCCGGGTTTTCCAGGCAAAGCTTCCCAGGCAGTGTTCCCGCTGGGGTCTCAGCCGGGTTTCCTTCCCCCGGCCCGGAGAACTCCGGGGGCGGCAGGCACAGGGTGTGGGCGCCCGGAGAACTCCGGGGGCGGCAGGCACAGGGTGTGGGCTTGAGGGGCCTCTGTGCTCTGGGCACAGGGTTGGAGGTGTCCGTCCTGCTGGTCAGGGGCATCCCCCGCCATACAGAAATGGACTGGAGCTGCCCGCTGGCTTCGCGGGGGGCCTGTGAGGCTGCAGCAGGACATTCAGGCCCAGCTGCTCAGTTGGGGACCTGCGGGGGGGGGCAGGCTGACGGCATGGGGCTGGGGGCAGGGCCCTGGAGGCTGGAGGGGGTCCTGTGGGAGGGCGTTCAGCTCGCGGGCTGCAGTGTGAGTGTGGGGGTCGGGCCCTCCAGGCCTGGTGTGTTCCTGGGTAGTGTGGTGGGGGGCGCTGTGTCCTCCACCTTGCCTCCAGTCTGCAGCCCTGCCCAGCCCCTCCCCGCTCCTCCCCCAACAGCGAGCAGGGAGACTCCGGGCCTTTCCTGAGTGTTCTCACTCTTTAATTACAGTGTAACAGAGGTGGGCACTGTGTGTGGACCCCTGCATGGGACGCACGCCCCCCACCCAGGCCGAGCTGACCCTGGCCACACGGGAGGGGCCTTGCCCCAGCACCCTGGGGAAGCCTGGCTGAGACCCCGCTGAGTAGCACCGTGAATGGGCGTTCAGGAGACGTGGGGATGCATGGAGACCCCACGCCCCCAGGAGGGTTTCAGCGGCTGACTGCAGCTCTGCCAACTCCCTCCATTGCCTGTTTCCTGGGCTGCGCAAAGGCCTGGTGTGTGTGCGGGCAGAGGGCCAACTGCCGCCCTGGCTCTTTCCGGGCCTGGGGGAGCCAGAGGGCCTGGGGAACCCTGACCTCGTGCACATCCCCATGCGCCCCTTGAGCGACCCAAGTGCTGGGTCTACCGGCCTGCGCCACGGCAGTCTCCAGGCCCCAGGCTCCCCTGGGAGGCAGTGGGCCTGTGTAAGTGGAGCTCCAGCCAGCTCAGTCCAGGGCTGGGCCTGGGTCCTGGGCGAGGCTCCCTCCCTTGCCCTTAGGGACAGTGATGCTTCCTGTCCCCGGGTCGCTGCAAGCATTGAAAGGGGAGCCAGGCAGGGCTGGTGGGCACAGGCAGGTGCGGGGAGGTCCCCTGTGGGCTGGGCTCAAGCCCTCGGTGGCCTGTTGCTCTCCTCTCCACCGTATACTTCTCCAGGGAAGGCGGCCAGCCGTGGCTCTGGGCGGAGGGTCTGAAGGACTCTGCCCAGCCGGTGAAGCTGGTCAGAGGGGCCAAGAGCAGTGTCCATCCTCGGTCCTCAGAGGCCAGGGCCCCTGCGGGCTGTCGGCAGACGCCCTGCGGCCTGGGAACACGATGGTGGCGTACTCCGTCTGCTCGGGGACGCAGGGAGCCGCGGGCTCCGGGGTCTTCTCCCGCCACTGGAAGTCCAGCTCCCCGTAGTCCACTGTGACGGCTGGCACAGAGGGGGAGCCCTCCTTCTAGGGGAGAGAGGGGGGAACGGTCATCAGTCTCCGAGGGCGGACACACACACACCCCTTCTGGGGCTGGCACTGGTGTTGGGCGAGGGGCGTGGCTAGTCTGAGGCCGCCCCACCCCGAGTGCAGCTCCGCCCAGTTGGCCCGTTGACCGTGATGCAAAGGGAAGGACACTCACCGGAGGCTGGTCTTGGCTCCTGCGGGCGCAGCCCCCTGCAGAGAAGTACCCCAGTCAGGGAGCCCCAGGCCCTGCAGTAGTGAGCTGGGGCTTCAGGGGTCCCTGGGCCCCAAGGAAGGCACCGGGTCCTCCGGCCTCCCCCCTAGACCCTCAGGGCCCCCTTGGGACCTGAGCTGTCTGAGCACCAGGGCCCAGCGGGCTCCCGGGCATCCCATGCGGCCCAGCCCAGAGGCCCTCTGCCGGCCCCGTGGGGTGCACCGTGGGCGCGTCGTCAGTGGTCCCCACACGTCCCCACACACATCTGAGGGAGGGAGGTGCGGTACCCTGACGAGACGACACCCACGCGGGCGCGTCACTGTGGCTGTCACCCTGGGTGCCCAGCGGTTAGAAGAGCTCAGTGCCCTGGCTGAGGTTCAGCCCGGGTGATGGCCGTGGTGGGGGCTGCCTTCCCTCGCCCCCCTCCCTGAGAGCAGGCCCAGGGGAGGGCAGCATCGGGGTTTCCAAGGGGACCCCCGACCCTGGAGGCCCAGTCCAGCCCCTCCCTGAGGGGGGACACGGAGGGGATAGGAACAGGGCAGGAGGTGAGGGAGGGGGCAGGGGGCAGAGCCTTCGGGGACTCATCACCTCGAGTAGCCCCGAGGAAGACCGCAGCCAGGACCCAGATCAGCAGCAGCAGCAGCAGGACCCCCAGAAGGACGCTAGTGACGCCGATGACCAGGCTCTGCATCTGGCCTTCAGGCTTGGGCTGGGGGCTGGGGGGCTCCGTGGGCGGCTCCTGGACCCCCTCTGCAGGAGGACAGGGGTCAGAGCTGGGCACCCAGTGCCCCACTCCTCCAAGTCCTACGCCCCCACACGCGGTCTCCAAGCCTGCCCCTGGGCAGGGCTTCCGAGCACAAGGTCACCCTCAGAGGCCCTGCCGCCAGCCCCCTTCCTCAAGAACAGTGGGTCTGGAGGTTCTTCCAGCCGTGGAAGGCAAGGGTGGGGGTCAGCACGGTCTTGGGTGTGGGACCGAGGCCCGACACGGAGCCTGGCGACCCCGAGGCCACCCTGCCGTGGCGGCTCCCACCCCAGCCCCGGGGCCTGCCCTGCGCTCGGGTCTCCGGTGCCCACACCTGTCACTGTGAGCTCCGCGGGGTGGCTCTCGTTGATCTGCGTCCGGGGGGGCAGGTAGATGGCCCCGCAGAAGTAGACGCCGCTGTCGTTGCGCTGGGCAGCCACGACGCTCATGAGGAAGTGCTGCCCATCGGGCAGCGGCGTGACGCGGAAGCGCTGGTCGCGGCCGGGCTGGCTGCGGTCCTCGGGGAAGGCGGCCAGCTTGTCTGTCTGGTTGCTGGGGCTCATGCGGTACCAGTTGAGGACGAAGTGCTCCGGCTTACTGGAGAAGCTGCAGGTGAAGGTGGCGTTTGCCCCCTCGGGCACGACCAGCCGGGCGGGGGAGAAGGTGAGGGCGCTCCAGGGCCTGCTGGAGGCCTCTGTGGGGAGAGCGGGCGTGAGGTGGGCAGGGACAGCCCCTGGCCCCAGCCCCTCACCTTCCCTCAGCCCTGCGAACGAGGAGGCTCTGCCGCGTGCTTCTGCCCCCACGCCCTGCTCGCCCCCAGGGACAGAACATGCGCCCCTGGGATGGGATGCTTGCCCATGGCACAGGACGCTCTTCCCCAGGGACAGCGCGCTCGCCCCCGGGACAGGACGCTCACGTCTCATGGACAGCTCCATGGTGGGACCCTGTCCTCTGACTGCACTGATCTGGGGCTGGCTCTGACCTCCAGGCCCTCATTTCTGCCCCCCCCCCCAGGTGGTAAGGGCCCCCACCCTCTCCCTTGCTGAAGCCCAGTTGCCAGTCCCTGCAGGTCTGACCTGCACAGTCCCAGCTCCAGTGCCCTGGGTCCTCCCTGCTCTGAGCAGGGGAGGGGTGGGTAACCGCTGGGGGCATCCCGTGGAGGGAAGCGAGCTCCATCTCAGGACAAGCTCATTGTTGGAACCCCGCTACACCACGGCGGGTGCTGCTGACCAGGCGGTGAGTGAGAGACCCTCTGTATCTTCCGCCACAACTTGGGGGCTGGTGCTCAGAGGCCAGCGGGGCTGTCGCTCACCTGAGGATAGGTCTGAGCTCTGCCTGCACGCCCCAAAACAGGCCCGCCATGGCCTGCCAGGGCCCACTGAGGGACACCCCCAAACCACGTCAGCCACCGCCTGCCAGGGCCCACCGGGGGACGCCCCCAAACCACGTCAGCCACCGCCTGCCAGGGCCCACCGGGGGACGCCCCCAAACCATGCCAGCCACCGCCTGCCAGGGCCCACCGGGGGACGCCCCCAAACCATGCCAGCCACCGCCTGCCAGGGCCCACCGGGGGACGCCTCACCACGTTCAGGGACCAGCTCGCCAACACACGCACACATGCACGTTCCCACGCACACGTGTGGGTGTGCACACTCTCACAGGCTCACACCCACTGGGAGATGTCCACCGCACCCCCCTCAGGGTCAAGGCTGACGTGGTGCCCCCTTCTCAGGGAGGGGCCCTGTGGCTGGAGGGTGCAGGGTGGCTCCTGATTTGCATGTGGGATCCTGAGGACTACGGTGGGGAGCGGCGGGCCTGCGCTGCCCGCTCTGGACCCAGCTCTCCATCTGCGGACAGCCGCCCCAGCACTGCCCTGTCCCTCCAGGCCCGGGGTCTCCCAGGCCCTGTGGAGGGCGGTTCCTTGTTTCTGTGGAGGACCCCCCGCCCCACCCCGCTGCTTTAGGTACAAGTGAGCACAGATTCGGCCAAAGATGTGTGGTGGTGTTGGTGTGCCGAGCCGAGAACTCTAGTCCTCCTTCCGCTGGCCCAGCTCATCCCTGCTCTGCACGTGGCCCTTGGTTGCTGCCCCCTGACTCCCACCCGCCGCCAGCCTGAGTCTGGGGCCACACGGACACCCCAGGAGCCCCGTTCTGGGTGGCGGTCCCAGACTGTGCCCCCACCCGCCGCACCCACGCCACCTCTGGTCCCACCTGCCGAGGCCTTGAGTGAGCCCGCTCCTGCATGCACCCCCAGCAGGCCCCCCTGCTCTGAGCTCCTGTGTGGACATTTGCTGGAGGGCCCTGTGTCTGGGGGGGCCTGGCCGCCTTCAGGTCATGTCCTCAGTGGCACCCCCAGCCTGAATCGGTGACCAGCTGTTTGCCCTTTGTGGGGCCTCATGGAGTCGGAACTGGATGAGCTGGACCCTGGGCGACCCGGCCTTTCCTCTATACAGCTGCCCTCGTCCTGCTCGGGCCCTGGGATGGCCGGTCCCTGCTGGTGGCCGACAGGGCCCTGCTCTGTCTGGACCATGTGGACCCCCACCGCCTCTCAGCTCGTCCCCCAGCCCAGCCCTGCCTCCGCCGGGATGCCCACCCTGCCCTCACCGGGCGTTACCCTGCGGCTGGAGGCTGGGGCTGGAGGCCGCTGGGCCTGAGGCCCGGTCAAGGGTGGAGCCCGTGGGGCAGTGAGGGGGGCGGCCCGTCCCCTCTGGGTGCTCAGGACCCAGCTCCGAGGGGTTGCTCGCCTCCCAGGGCCTTGGCTGTCAGGGGCCCCGGGGGCCGGGCCAGGATGTGGGGTCACAGAGCGGACCCTCACGGGGTACCTGGCGGCCCCCAGAGGGAGAAAGATGGGCTGCTCCGAGCAGGAGTCCAGAAAAGGCCGAGAGCAGACGGAGGCCTGGGCAGGAGCCCTGGGCGGTGGACAGCCAGGGGGCCTGGGCCCTGCGATGCACGTGTCCCTGTTCAGCCAAAGTCCCTGTTCAGCCTTGGCCTGTGAGGCGGTACCCAGCTTCCTCTCGAGTCCAGGGGGCCTCACTTTATCCTTTCGGTAGGAACGCCTGTGAAGTCTGCTCTTACATTGTTTATGAATTGAAAATTTAAATGTTGCCTATTTCTGTAACAATGAAAAAGCTGAGCCCCAGCAGGGTCAGCGGGGAGGGGGCGGGGGAGGGGGCTGGGTGCGGGATGGGCTGTGAGCCTCGAGGTGGGCTCAGAGTGCCCTCAGAGACTGCATTTCACAGCTGCCCACTGATACTTGATTTGGGCAGCACCCACCAGTGGTGCTGAAAGCACTGCTCATGGGCTGTGGGGTCTCTGCCTCGGGTCTCCAGTTCATCCCAAAGGGCTAGACACGCCTTCCTCTCCTTGACAGTGGACCCAGAGGGAGTGACCTCATCGTGGGGTCCCCCAAAGGTGCCCCAAGAAGGGCCAGCATGTCTGTGACCTCCTGCAAGTGAATGACAGTCACGCCCTACCTGGGTCCTTCAGAAATGTCAGCACAACAAATGCTAACCCTAACCTGTAGCACAACCCAAAATAGACACGCGGGGCTGCATCAGACTAACGAGCTTCTGCTCAGCAAAGGACACCATCGAAAACTGAAGAGGCAGCCTAGCGAACGGGAGAAAATGCTTGCAAATCATATATCTGATAAGGGGTTAACACCCAGAGCATATAAAAAATTCTTAAAACAACAGCAAAACCCCAAACAATCTGATTAAAAAATGGGCAGAGGACCTGAGGAGACATTTTCCCCAAGAAGACGTGCAGGTGGGCCACAGGGACACGGAAAGGTGCTCAGCGTCACTGATCATCGGGAATCGGGGATACACACAGAAACCACAGTGAGCTGGCCCCTCGCACCTGCTGGAACGGCCGTCTTCGAAAAGACTAGAGATAGCAAGTGGTGAAGAGGATGTGGAGAAGACTGGAAACTGGTGTGAGGTGTGAAGGCTCCTTAAAAACTAAAAATAGAACTGCCACATGATCCACCAATTTCACTTGGTTTTTATCTGAAGGAAACTGAAACACTCATTTAGGAGATACATACACCTCAGCGTTCATAGCAGCGTCGTTTACAGTAGCCAAGACATGGAAACAAGCTAAGTGCCATAGACAGAGGAGTGGAAAGAAGATGTGGTGCATTTCTACAGTGGAATACTGCTCAGCCACAAACAAGAATGAAATCCTGTCTCTTGGGACAACATGGATGGACTTGGAGAATATTATACTTAGTGAAGTAAGTCGCACAGAGAAAGACAAGTACTGTATGATTTTACTTATATGTGGAATCTAAAAAACAAAGAAACAAACAAAAAAACCCAAAACAAAGCAAGATAAAAACCGAGCTCACGGGTATAAAGAACAGACCTGCATTTGCCAGAGGTGCATGCTCAGTCACTCAGTCGTGTCTGACTCTGTGTGGCCCCACGGACTGTAGCCTGCCAGGCTCCTCTGTCCATGGGATTTTCCAGGCGGAATACTGGAGTGGGTAGCCATTTCCTCCTCCAGAGGATCTTCCCCACCCAGGGATGGGACCAGCGTCTCCTGCGTTGGTAGGCGGGTCCTTTACCACTGAGCCACGGGGACAACCATTGCCAGAGGTTGAGGTGGGGGGAATGGGTGAAGGCAGTCAAAATGTAGAAACTTCCAGGTATAAGTAAGTCCTTGGGATGTGATCTGCAGCTTGGGGACTAGGGTTAATAATACCGTACTGCATATTTGAAAGTAGCTAGGAGAGTAGATCTTGAAAATCCTCCTTACAAGAAAAAGCTGGTACCTGTATATGGTGATGATATTGGCCAGACCCACTCTGATAATCGTTTTGGAATATATACAAGTGTCAAATCATTACATGGTATACCTGAAACGAATATGATGAGGCATGCCAATTATACCTCAAAACTTCATAATTCTAAGGATTTCCATATCGAAAATAAAATGGAGATTTGATTAAAAAAAGAAAAGAAGGATGCCGGGCCCGACAAAGGCAGAGAGAGGGAGTCTGCGGAGGTCCAAGGAGGCGGGGTCCTTGACTCAGCTCATCAGGGAAGGGGCCAGGCAGAGGGCAGGCTCGGGACGCGGGGCGTCTGAACAGTGGGCCTGCAGCAGGGCCACCGCCCTGGGCCTTGGGGGAGTCTGTGACCGCTGTGTGGACCGAGGGGGCTGTGGGCTGTGCCGGCCCCAGATCCAGGCATTCAGCAACCCCCCAGAATGCGGCCTTATGGGAAGCGGGGTCTTTTCTGGCAGGATCGGTCAAGATGTGTTGGTCTGTGGCCCCTAACCCGCTGTGACGGTGTCCTTACTGGGGAAGAGACATGGACAGGCCTGCACACGGAGCATGCTGCATGACACGGAGCAGAGCTGGGTGGTGTGTCCACAGGCCGAGGGACACCCAGCATCCCTACCGCTGCCTGGGGCCGGGAGGGGCCTCAGGAGGCAGGGACCCTGCGACCCCGAGGACCCTCTGACTTCCCGCCTCCAGAGCCGCCGGCCCACAGGCTTCTGAGGTCCACGTGGCCAGCCTGGGGCGGGGGTCACCGCGGCAGCCCCAGCACACTGACCTAGGAAGCCGAGGGGCCAGGGTCGCCAGTTGGCCACTCTGGGTGCAGGGTCCTCACTGCTGTGTTTTTGTACCTTTTCTGTATCTTTCAAATACTTTTCAAGACTGTAAGTTGAAAAAGATAAAGAATCTGACTTAGAAAAAGCATGTCATAGGCAGTGCCAGACAGTTCTTACAAGATGAAGTTCTCATGACACTATACAGTAGGCATTTTATCCCCAAACTGCAGGTGGGAAAATTTCTGCTCAGAGAAGTCAAGGAAGCTGTCCCAAGCTCCCCAGCACCAACCCCTTTAATGTTTTGATCCTTCCCTTCTTTGGGAGGGGACCCTGGTGGGGAGCAGGTCACCGGCGGCAAGTCATCCCCACCCTAGCCTCGGTCCTTCTTCCCGGACAACACGCACCCCGTCCCCACCCCTCCCAGCGCTGCGCCTGGACCCCCAGGGCTCCCCACGGGGCGCCTTGTGACCACAGGCTCCTGGACCACTGACCACAGCCTTGAGTTTTGCTCTGTCCACCTTGAGCAAGGCCGGGGAGGAAGGAGAGCAGGGAGGCCCGGCTGCCCCGTGCTGCTGGCCAGGCCCAGGCCGGGCACAGACGCCTGAGGGGCTCTGGGCACTGGAGTCCAAGATGAGCGGCCAGGGAGTCAGGGCCGCCCCCACTCACCATGGCCCTTCCAAGGCCCTGGCCCCCCGAGCCCAGTGAGGTCCAGAGGACCGGCCCTAGGGCTGGCTGGGAGCCCCCTTCACTGGTGTTCCCCTCTGGCAGGACCTGGCACTGCGGCTGAGGGCGAGGGGAGCCAGGAGGGGCGCCTCCCTGACCACGAGGCTCTGGCAGTGGGCCTGCAGGGCCTCCTGGGGAACGGCCCACGGCTCGCTGGGGGCAGGCCCCTTCTGGAAGCCCTGCGGACGCTCCCGGCCCCTTGACCCGGGGCGCCTTCGAACAGACCCAGGGGGCATGGCCCAGGCCCACGAGGCGGTGGGGGCTGAATGGGCGTTATTGGAGCCCGGACCCCGCTGACATAATTGGAGAAACATTGTCAGGCTGTCCAGCCTGTGCCCTCATGGAAATGCCAGTCTGTTTTCCCGCAGGAAAACACAAGTGGGCCTTGGGCCTGGGGCTCTGGCAGCCCAGCGCTGTCATCCTACAGGGAGGGCACAAGCCCCCCCCATCCCTCAGACCTCCCAGCGAGAGCGGGGCCCTCCTGCCTGCTCCCCAGCGGGGATGGGCTCACCCCTCAGCAAGGATGGGGCCCACCCCGGGCGAGGACAGGCTCACCCCGGGCGAGGATGGCAGGTGAGCAGTCGGAGCCCAGAGAGGGCCCTTCACTGGTCCGAGGCCACACAGCGCCCTGCCAGGGGCCATGCTGGGCCTCAGGGACCCGGTCCTACCGGCCGGAGACTGCGAAGGGGAGGCCCGGCCCTGACCCGCGCCACCCAGCCCCAGCCCACCTACCTAGGAGCCATCCTGGCCAGCAGCCCAGCTGCAGCACAGCCCAGAGGAGCGGCCACGGCGCCCGCGGGGTCCCCATGCCCAGGGCGCCTGCCCGCCCGCATGCCGCTCACAGCCTCCACTGCCGCAGGAGAGGAGAGGAAGCTGTCCCGGGCTGTCGGAGGGCCCCGCCCCCAGCCCACCCCCTCTTCCTGGTGGGAGAGACTCACTCAGCACAGAAGCTGAGAGAGGGGGAGAGGAGCAGAGACGCGGGCAGGAGGCAGAGGAGGTGGGTCTGCCCCCCAGCCCTGGGAGGCTCTCGGCTCTTTCTGGGTGGCTGCCCCTTCCTGAGGCCGGGAGCCCCCTGCGCCGGGGGAGGGTCTTCTGCCTCCCTCCCCCGGCCAGCCCTGCCCTCTCTGGGCCCAGGTCCCAGTGTCCCCGTGCTGAACCACCGCCTGCTGGAGCCACTCTGCTGGGGGCAGTGAGTGCGGGGGCGGGCCCCTGCCGTGCCAGACCTCCCCCGATGGCTGTGGGCAGCCTCCCCAGTGGCAGTGGGCGGCGAGGCTCCGGGGTCTTTCTTCCAGGCCCGCCTGCGACCCGTGCCTCCCGTTCTACCCAGGGCGCTGGGCCCCTCCCCACCCCCTCGGTGGTCGCATTGGCCTCGCGTGGACGGGGGGCTCCTGGGGCCGGCGGGGGACGGCCTCACTTCCACCCCCAGTGCTGGGGGTGGTCCTGGGGTTTTCAGGAGCCTGGCCTGGCTGCCCAGCCCCGATGTTTGTTAAGTCACTGGGTCATTCACTGCATTTTGCTCTAAGCATTTTGTTCTAATGAATGGAAAACAGGAAAAATGAAACTGCTGATATTAGCGGTGCGGTGCGTAGGTCTCGTCAGCTAAGATGACAGAGACAGAAACTGCCTGACAGCTGGCGCTTAGCCCCGGCTCTGACACCCGGGGTTTGCTGTGAAGGGAAAACATTAAAGAAAACTGAAACAGTGGAAAAAGAGCATCAAAAGACACTATCTCCGGCAAAGCGAGGTGCTGGGCGGAGGAGGCTCAGCGGTGAAGAGAGGGCCACTCCCAGGTGCCAGCCCCGGAGGAGGCCGCGGGGACAGAGTGGAGGACGGGAGGGGTCCCTGCTGACCCTGGCACCGGGAGGCACGTGGGCGCTCACAGCGGGCCCGGGGCTGTGTGTGTGGGGCACTGTGTCCCTTGAGGACCAGGCTGCAGTGGGCTGTGTGGGAATCAGTGTGTCCCCCGAGGACTAGGCTGCAGTGGGCTGTGTGGGGAGGAGGGTGCTCTCAGACCCTGGGGCCTCCTCACCACCCCTCGCCTCTGCTCCACCTGTGAGAGCCCGGCCGGTGCCTCCATCTCCCTCTTGCCCCACTTCCCTTCCTCCCTTACTCCTGGTGGTCCCTCCCTCCCAGCCTCTTCCCCCCACTCTCACTGATGCCCCAGGGCGGTGGGCTGGGCAGGTGGCCCAGACTGAGGGTCGGGGTGGGAGGGGACCAAAGGATGAAGGGGGAACAGACACTGGAGGCAGGGAGGGAGTACCCAGAGCCTGGGGAGGGCAAGACCAGCAGGACAACTGGGCCAGAGCCTGGGGAGGGGCCCTGGCAAGTGAGGGAAGGGGCAGGGATCCCAGGGCCTCTGGGTGCCATCCCCACAAGCCAGCTCCCGCTGCCTATCAACACGTTGTCCCCCCACACACCCCGTCCAAACACACCCCATCCCCCACCATTTCCCCCATAGTGTCCACCCGTTCGGTTCCCCGCACTGTCCCCACCACACACACACACACAAATACATTGTCCCCACACCATCCCCACACACCGTCCCCACACACCATCCCCACACACCGTCCCCACACACTATCCCCACACACCATCCCCACACACCATCCCCACACCCCATCCCCACACACCATCCCCACACACCGTCCCCACACACTGTCCCCACACCCTGTCCCCACACACTATCCGCACACACACCATCCCCACACACTATCCGCACACACACCATCCCCACACACTATCCCCACACACTGTCCCACACACCATCCCCCCACACTGTCCCCCCACACCCCATCCCCACACCCCATCCCCACACTGTCCCCACACAACATCCCCACACACCGTCCCCATACACTGTCCCCACACCCCATCCCCACACACTATCCCCACACACTGTCCCACACGCTGTCCCCACACACAGCCTCCCCCCACCGTCCCCATTACACAGTGTGTCCGCCTGTGCCCCCCGCCCCACCCTTCACTGGGACAGGTCAGGCTCTCCGGGTGGTGGAGGAGGGATGGTCAGGCTCCATCTGCCTCTCCCTGCATCCTGCTGGCTGGCCTGTCCTTGTGTCCTGGTCTCACCCCTTCAGGTTTGGGACATTTCAGTCAGGGTCACAGCAGGGCTGACCATTCCTGACCCCACATGTGACCCTCTCACATGCCCAGGTGTGGGTGCAGTGGGGCCTCTGGGGAGGCGGTCACTGCAGGAGTGCTCCAGGCGTGACAGTGGCAGGGCCGGTCCTGCACAGGGCCCAGACCTTCTCAGGGACGGCATCTCACATAGCCGCCCGCTGGTACAACCAGGACTGCCATGGCTGCGGCCCACCGAGGGGGTGCGGAGGGTCCTGGTTTAGTTCCCGGGCCAGCGTGTGTGTTGGGTGCTGTACAACGTACCCATGACGGCCTGCCTCCCCCTGAGATGACACCGCTGTCATCATGGGACCCTTGTGCCTCTCAGAGCCACTCCCAGCTCTCTGCCCTCTCACCCTGCACCCACGCGTCCATCCTCTAGCATCTGCTTTGTCTCCATAAAGTACACAGTGGGGTGGCCCGTGCGGCAGGACCCCATGGACAGTGGTCCGCGCGTCCATGTGTCCCTGCTGGGCTCCTCACTGTGCCCCGTGGCGGGTGGGCACGCTTGGCTCTTCTCTGCTGAGGCCCACCTGGGTGGATCCAGCCAGGGGTCCGGCAGGGAGGAGCCGGCAGGCAGGGCCTGGTGAGCAGCCCTGGTGCTGTGGGGTGTGTGCTGTGTTGGCAGGTCTGTCTGGCTGCCGGCTGCTTCCTGCTGGACGGACCGCAGGAGCCCGGGGCCAGCAGTGAAGGAAGCGAAAGGGCCCACAGGGTTCTCAGCGAGGCAGGCACTGGGCTCCATCTTTTGGCCTTGACAAGAGGGGCCCTAGGGTTTCCAAGGTGCGCCTGGCCTGGCTGAGGTGACACCGGAGGAGGACAGGGGTGGAGAGAAAGTGGGAAAGAGGGGCTCCCTGAGCTCCTGAGAGGCCGCTGGAGCTGGAGGGACATTTCCATCATGGGAGAAACACAGGAAGCAGGAGGGCCACCCAAAACTGCTTCTGAGGGGCGAGAGGAATGGTGATGTCAGCGACCCCTGACCTACACTTGGAGGGGGAAATGATGCCCCAAACCGGGAGGGTGGTGAGTTCACAGCCAGTCTGAGGTTGGAACAGGAAATGGTTAATAGTGTTTGCAAATAAAAACCTCTGCTCTAGCCTGTTTTTGAAGCATTTCCCAGAAGTTAAAAAAGAATACTGAATTTATCTGCCCAATTTAAGAATCAAATTAAAAAATGAAGACGAAATATTTTCATCATTTATTATACACAAGACTAAAGACAGCGGGGGTATTTGCTAATGTGGTGGGGTCCCCCTTATTTCTAATTTTGCCAGAATGCTGTTTGGAGTTTAAATGGAAAATTTATATTTAAAATTTCCCAAAATGTGTGTTCATGTTTTTGTATGTGTGTGGGCATGCATGTGCTCACAGGCAGGTATGTGCATGGTGTGTGTGTTTATGTGTGTACAGGTGTTCACAAGAATGTGTTTTGTGTGTAGGCTTGTGCTCATATGTGGGTCAGGCTGTGTAGGTGTGTGTGGTGTGTTTGCTAGTATGTGTGCAGAGTGCAGGTATGTGTGTGTTGTGTGTTTATGGGTGTGTGTGTGCAGTGCTCACATGCCTGTGTGTGCACCTCTGCCCTCTCTCACTGGCCAGTCGCCCAGGCGGCTGAGGGGCGGCCCGCCGGGTTCTGGAGGCAGACCGACCGGGGCGGACGAGGAGGCGCCACCCCCTGGACGGGCTGTCCTTTCCTCGGAGCGCTGAGGTGCTCTCAGAAACTCGGAGATGCCTTGCCCGCTGCCCTGGGTCCCTGTCCTTCTCCTGTGTTGCTTGATGTCCTGGGTCCTGTGGGGTCTGGGGGAGGTGCCAGCCCCTCACTTGGCAGCAGCTGGCCTGAGTGCTGACACTTGGCCGTTGGGAAACACCGCTGGGATGGAACAGCTGGATGGGGCTGCGGTGCCTGCTGCCGGTCCAGACCCCTCCTGCTGCCTGCGGCCCCCACGTACACACCTTGACCGTGTGCTGGGGCTTGGGCCCTCGGGTGGGCCGAAGGACCCAGGATTCAGGGAGTGCACCCCTCTGCGGAGGTCTGGGGGCAGGGGGAGCCCGGCATGCACTAGAGGCTCTGCCCCCAGCTCTCTTCTTGGTTGTCTGTCTGTCTGTCTGGCTATCCTAACCTGTCTGCTGCCCACGCCCAAGGCTGGTGGAGCAAAGTGTCAGCTGGCGGGCCTCGGGCGGACCCTGTAACCCCCGGCCCTGAGCTGGCGGCCAGGCCTGTCGCCTACCTGCTGGGCTGTCTTGCCTCCTCCACTCCCACCCCTGCCCAAAGCGGGTTGTTGTCTGGCTCAGGGTCGTGGTGGAGGCTTCGGGGAGCCAGCCAGGTCCAGGTCAGGGCAGATGGGGGCTCACCTGGACTGTGGGAGGTCTGTGTTTTCACGCTCCACCGGAGGCCCCTGTGTGGGGGCTGCCCCCCTGCCCTAGCTGGGGGCGAGTGCAGCTGCGGAGGAGGTCAGGGCGCGTCCACCGGGAGAGAGGCCCCCGCTGTTTCCCTCGGGGGGCGATCGTGTGGAAACGGCACCTGGTTTCCTGACGCTTCTCTCCACCCCCCATCTGAGCTGGTCTGGAGTCGTCGGTGCCTCGAGGAGGCTGGTCCTAGGGCAGCAGGTGGAGGGCGGAAGGCAGAGGGAGTGGCCGCTGACCCTGCTGTGGGACCCGTCCTTCAGCAGAAGGGCCTCTCCAGCCCCTGCTCCAGGGGGCTCACACAGACCCCGGCTCCAGAACAT